CATATCTTGTGGAGAGATTCATATCTTGTATCCCAAATAATTCAGCTGTTACATGAAGTACATTTCATTTCAGCTTTTGCACTGTTTCTTAGCTAATAGTGTGTTCTCTACGTTGAACATTGATCAGGACTCACTTCAGTAGTCCTCTCAAGCAAAACGCTCATTACCTTAATTGAGAACATTTGCCTTTGTACAGGATCTGGGTCTAGGCTTGCTAACATTACCTGGGGGTGGTAATGGCTTTTTATTGCTGTATAAAATAACTTTAGAAGGTTTACTAGTGACCCTATCATTTTCAAGCCAGCTGCTGCATGTTTTAATTCAGGATTTTCATCACACCATGTTAGTTAGGTCACATTTTCTTGCAAGAGCATTTTTTTACTTCAAATAGTTTTCCTTTAGTGTTTTTAGTGTTTTTATTATTGAATAGGCACTCACTCACTCACTCACTCACTCACTCACTCATGCACATCAGTTCACCATGTATGCAACTATTTGAAGCGTTTGCTAGCTGTTACATAGGCCACTTTTCTAGGCCTTAAATCATGCCCCTGCACATCTCTTTTATGGGCTTGCTTCTACACTTGTCCTCCCCAGGTTTCTACCTACTTCCTCTTTTTCCATAATCTCTTAGGCAGAGCTGACACTGGGTGGAACTAACTTGCATGTGAGGGGAGAATAGTCTGCTTTCTATGGCTCACAGCCTCACTCTATGACTATATATTGCTTCCCAATATGGTAAAGCTACTATGGGTATGGTTCATTAATACATTTCATAGCCTCTGCCCCTGATGTGCGACTTTCACCCATCCAGTATTAACCACAATTACAGACATTTTGTAGTGCTAAATTGCCTGTTTATTCTAGTCTGCTACACAAATGGGATAACTGTATTTGAGCAATTGTGATTTTGGCCACTGGTTGTTCTCCTTTAGCTGTACATTCTCAAATTAAAAGAGGTTTGGAATGCTCCTTTCATCCCTTTTGCTGGCTGCTGGTGTATCTAACTGATAACTTGTACACCACTTTCAAATGCATTGGAGCATACACAATATTTTGGGTGCAGCTATGTATTCTTCATGGAGTACCTGGAAAAACAACTCCAGTAAACCAACAGCTGTGACTGGCACTTGCGACTGGGGAGACGTATTAATTTCTTTTACTGTGATTGAAGCCTATTGGTTTTTTTTGAGTGTGTGCCTCCACCGCTGGATCTCCAGTGTATTTACCCCAGCTTTGTTTAACTTCTAACAAGAATTATTTCCTCATTGGAAAGGCTGTCATTACAAGCTGATATGTGAACACCTCTCTCATACCCAGTCCCTGTAATGAAGCTTGAAGCTCTATTAGGAGAGGGTGCATTTTTTAAGTACTTAAATACACCTCATTTGAAGCCCTGCATTTCAAAAGGCAATTGGGAACATAGTAGGAAAGAAGGAGCCTAAATACTCCTGGCTTCTGATCTCCTAAATCAAGATGGAAAATGGAACTTGGGTTCTTAATTACTTGTGAAAATTTTACTCTATGAAAAATTCCCAGAGATGAGGCGCAGAGCCCATGGGAATAACCGTCTTGTGCCTGGCTCAGCCTTCAGGTAGAGAAGGATTTAGAATCTGCACCAGCAAGTTAATATTCTTTTCTGCATTCTCCGTGCCAGTTTCCACTCTGTTAAGTATGTTCTTATGCTTCACAACAGTTTTTTGTCTTACTGGCTAAACTGTTTTTCATCCCGTAGCCCTTGCTCGCGTTGAAGCCAGTGCAGCTAGTTTTGTGAGTAAATAAGTAATAGAAGTTTTAAGTGTTGCAGAACTAGGTCTGTTTCCTCTAAAGCAGGTGAGCTACATCTTTTGCTTTCAGGACTCTGAAAACCCATTCTCTAACCAGGTTGCAGACTATTGCACATGAGTTGGTCCTCACGTTGTACAGTCTAGCCTTGTATTAGAGCTTTAGTATTTGGAAGAAGAGCAGCCAAATTTATTGCATCTGAGCACTCAGTTAACTGGTGAGGTTTTGAAAAATGAGTAAATATAGCTACTGTTTACTTGGATTTGATCCTACTCTAAGAAGGAGCATACTGGAGAGAGATCTATTCTAGTCTGAGACATGCTTCAGTGAGAGGTCTCCGTGGTGAAAAGGGGATAAACAAATTGCTGTGGGGACAGCATACAATGATATAAAATTATTATAGTGGGGAAAGAAAAAAACATTTCAAGATGCTGTTTCTTTTTTTTCTCACAGCATTTTGTATTTAGCAATAAAAAGGCCTGTATTAGTAAAGTTCACTTTCTCTCTCTCTACTTTTTACTCTACTTCATCTACTTGTCTTTTAATTTACTTTTACTAATTGGTGTCAGTTTCCTCTCTCCTTTCTGAATTTATCCTTCAGTGTATTTATGTTTTCTGTCAGGGTCATGAATATTGTACCTTCTCTCTCTTTTAGATCCAAAGACGGCTTTTCTGATGCTGTTTTTGAAGTTAACTTGAAAATGACAGGATTCTAAACTGCTAATAGGCAGGAAGATCAGAGACTTCTCCATTTCAAATCACTCCACAAAAAAAGATTTTGGATCATCCAAAGTACAGACTGGAGCTGATGATGATGCTTTAACTTACTTTCACTGTCACGGGACAGCATGTACATCCTTATCCAGGGATTCTGGTTTTCTCTGACAAAAAATTGCAAATTTTCTGACAAAACCACCAAAATCCGTTGTTAAAATTTTAAAGCCCCTTGCCCCCCCACCCACAGCCCTTGCCCCCCAGCCCTGCTGGAGGGGCCCCCAGCTGCCAGGGCTATGGGGCCAGGGACCCAAGTCTGCAGCTCCCTGCCCCCAACAGCAGGCAGCTGCAGCAGAAGCAGCATGGAGCCAGCTCCTCCACTGCTGCCGCCTGCTTGGGTGGTGGCGGGGCCAGCTCCTGCCCCCCCCCTGCAGCCAGGACCTGCAACCCCCAAGCCCTGCCAGAGGGGTCCCCAGCCCCATGCGAGCCCCTCTTACCTCAGGCTTCAGGAGAAGTGACGCTGAGCTGAGCCGAAAAGAGCCATGGCTGACCGAGAGTCTCAGGCCCTGCCTTTCCCCCTCCCCCTTCCCCTCCGGATAGTTTCCTGTCCTGTTTGCAAACAGCTTTTGCAGGCTGGAGCTCAGCCAGCCTGCAGAGCTGTTTGCAAAAGCAGGGAATCTGCGGGTTTCTCTGCTAAAAGGAGAAATCTGTGTTTTCTCTGATAAAAAGGGGAAAGCCATGGTTTTATCTATTTTTCCATGGGAAATGGAACACCCGGATCCCTGTGTTATTTCCCAGACCACTTTCACCTGCGTGTTCCAGGATATCTGGGATTTCCTTGCATTGTGGTCCACAGCAATGAGATCCAGAGTTTACTTGAGTACCAAAGCTGTCTAACGATTTCAGTTAGTTTTTGGTAACAGAAATGAGATTACTTGGGTAAGCAGGTGATGAATGTTACCTACCGGCAGAGCACAATGGTACCGTGATAACGCAGTTATAGAACACAGCTTCCCTTTGTGGGAAATGTGCTGTAAGAAAATTACATCAACCCCCCCCCAAAATGTTATGGTCCCTGTGGGGCTGGTAGTTGTACATAAATCTGAATTTTCCTGAAGGTTTAAAGCTGCCTCGGATTGTATTGCAGCTCTTCTTGGTATGATTCTAACCTGCTTTCCCCCCCCCCCCCCCATTTTTAAAAATATACCAGTTACACACTCATGTACATTATATACCTTAATTTCCCACCCCATACTCAGGTGAAAACCTAAGATAGGAGTTTTGGCTGTTGCCAAACTTGAGTTCTCTGGGACCAAGTTGGGTCTAGATCCAAGGGTAATCCATTAATAATGCCTTCCTGTGGGATTCCAGACAATTAATCTGGGCACAACTGTTAGCAGGAGAGCATCAACACTCAGTAACCATGCTGAAAAATTCTCAAATACCCAGATTCTGAACTATTAAGGATTTATAGAACAAAAATAAAAACCTACTGTATGCTCTTGTACTGATCTATTGTAATAAAGGTGGCAACAGGAAATATTTCATCTAGTGTACACCATGAAATACATGAGTATGCAGCTATAATGTTTAGTGTTTTAGCTAAGTTGAAATCTCTAGGAGATAGCAACTTATGGCAATGTGCTCACTAAATTATTTTTGTAGGAGAGAATACTTTTATTTTGTCCATTTGCTGTTCTTGTACAGAAGTTTCTAGCATCCAGTTGCCTAAGAAATTCCTGGGTCACACTATGTCAAGTGTTTTTGAAATCGTTCTTGATCAGTCATCCACATAACAGAGTGTAATTTAAAACATGCGTCTTAATCTTTATCTTCTTTAGTCTCTTCTGACAGTCAAAGTCTGGTGTTACAAATAGCATTAGTAATATTGTTTTATTATATTATTAGACAATGGTAATAAGGATGGATGTGGCTTCTGAGTTAGATATGCAAGGAGTAGCACCCACTCAAGTGAATGAAAGACTCCCCCTGGTGTTGATGGTGGTTGAATAGACCCTGTGCTATACTAGACTGTTTTTTCACTGACAGCAAAGTAAAGACTATTCAGCAGGTAGCAAGAGGTGGGACATGACCCTTTCATTGTTCATTTGACCCTGTTAATGCAGGCAACAAGAGGAGATGACTTTTTTGTGCAGTTTAGTGAAGATTCTTGAAGAGTTTATTTCTCAAACTGAAGTCAATTGAATCAAGCCATTGTAAAGAAATCTCTATTAAGATTATAGGGCAGCTGAGCAGAGAGAATTAACCTTTTATTAACAGTGGTGTAAAATGGGAACAACATTGTTCAAGTCCAGTCAGTTACACTTGATAGAAAGGTGGTGCTGGAGGAGGATCTGATGGAGGGATTTTTTGTTTGTTTGTTTGTTTGTTTGTTTTTGGTTTGGAGCAATATTCCTTATTTAGTAAGAAAAATTAGATATATTTTTAAGCGTTCATTGATGTTGGTGTTTTCAATTCAACGTAATTTTTCTCTGTTCTAGTGCTGATGAACGGTTTGATGCTACATTTCACACCAATGTTTTAGTCAATTCTTCAGGACACTGTCAATACCTACCTCCAGGTAAGAAGTAGATTGTGTATATGTGATAAGCTTTGGCTACTTGCACTGCTACTCATGCTACTCATATTAAGCAGTAGTATATTTTACAAGCTAATCTGCGACCATGTTTAGGAGATCTCTGTTTTATGTTCTTACTCCAGGCACAGCTTTCTAAACCTGACTTTTGCTGATCAAACTTGAGCTAGACTTCCCCAAATACCTAACTGAAACTATGTAATATTGTAACTGTTTTATTTGTCTCTCTTGTATGGCTATTACTACTGGTATCATCATAAGTTCACATACCTGGCAATAAATAACTTTTATGGTCAAGTTGGTTGCTATACTCTCTGTCTGAACCTCACTTACTCTTCCTTCCCCTTGACCTCACCATTTGCTCTGCAGCAACACTTCTTTTACCTAACCCAAAGATCCCTATAATACCCAAAACTACTGTGGGGTCTGCTCATCAACTAGGACCATTGTGACAAGAGATTGGGACGTGCTGAGTTTTGAGGCGCATGAGGGTATCAGCTGAAAGTGCTGATCAGACCCAGCTTGCTCAGACGTACTCTGTTAGCATGTGTGTCTAACTGCATTTATTATTGTCCTACTGAAATAAAGGATGAACTGAGTTCAAGGCATGTGAGGGTGTCAGCTGAATGTCACACTGAATAACCTGGTCTGGCTCAGATGCACTCTATTAACCTGTATGCTTGTGTCTGACTGCATTTTATTGTTGCCCTGATGAATTGAGTTCAAGGCATATGAGGGTGTTAGCCTGTCAATGCTGAATAACCCGGCCTGGCTCAGGTATGCCCTGTTAATCTGTGTGTGTATGTGCATCTATGTGTTTGACTAATTCAGTGGTTGGAGAAACCCAGCCCCATTGAAACTGAGTCCTGCAAGATAGCTCCATTGGGGGTGAGGACTTGCAGAAGGGAGAGATACAGGTCCACATAAAAACACAAGAAACACAAGCTGCACATTGATAGAACTACAGAGACCCCAGAAACACACCCCTAATAAATGAGCACACCCCAAAGTGACAGGGAAATCTGGTAACACTACCTAGATCACATGTTTATATACATTTTATATAGGCAGCTTCCAAGAAAATACTTTTTTGCATGAATAACACCAGGCAAAAAACAACTCTTTGTTGCAGGTATGTGCATTTATCTGTCCTAGTATGGAGTCATAGTATGACTCTTTTCTTGTTGCTGTCATTTTTAAAAATATATTTTAGAGACCTGGAATAGTGAAAAGAAATAAATTAAAAATATATAGGCATATAGGAGGAATAAAGGAATATTGTTTGCTAAAGCTGAAGAAATGATTCATAAGGAATAATGTATTCCATGAGTGTAGCCTCCTTGTTACCAATTACTTTGTCTATATTTAGTATTTGAAATGCTTACTGAATACTTGGTATGAAGATTACTTAGCATGTAGACCATTCCTGAGAAATCTGTTGCATTTGTTATTTGAAATTAAAAATATACTGAGTCTTACTTATCAGGTACACAGCATGTACCATCCTGTTTCTCTTCCCTAATTTAATGAGCATAAGTCTTAGAATCTGAGATTTCTTTGGTCTATCGCAGGGGCATGCAAAACAGGCCATATTTGATTCGGATTTGGATTTGGCCCGAATCAGGGACAGTGATTCGATTAGTTGATTCAGATTACTGTCACCAACTCAGATTCGGCCAAATCAGCGATTTGGCCATAGACACAGCTTTAAATGTTTTTCTATGTACCTTGAGGTACCAGGCCAGGTTCATGAACCCTGTGATGCTGGGGCGGATGCAGCATCCCACAGGAGTGTGGCCCCCCCGCGTGCTTGGCAGTGAACCTGGAAGTGGACCAGAAGTACTTCCAGTCCGCTTCCGGGTCTGCCACTGAGCGCACTGGGGGCACCTCCCCAGCTCAGCGATCGGCTGAGGGGGGACCTCAGGAGTCCCCCCGGACCCAGGAGGCACCAGTTGTTGAGCCGGGGGGGGGCATGTGGGGACTTCCCGGTGGACCCAGAAGTGCTTCTGGTCCACTTCTGGGTCTGCTGCCCAGTGTGCTGGGCACCCCCCCCAGCGCTCCTGTGAGATGCTCCATTCACCCCAGCATCGCAGCATTCACTAGCCCCCTGGTACCTTGAGGTATGTAGAAAAAACATTTAAAGCTGTGTCTATGCCTGAATCACTGAATCTTTCCAAATTTCTCTGAATCAATTCAGAGGGTTCTGATTTGATTCGGAGAGATTAAAGGGTTTCCTGATTTGATTCAGATACAGAGATTCAGTCACCAAATCGGGCCGAATCTCCGCTGAATCAAACCAGGGACTGAAGCTTTGCACAGCCCTATCTATAGCAGATCTAAAGCATCTACCACTGGAGAATTTAAGTATTTTCCAGGTGAATTGAATCTTGAAATCCTTTGAGGACTTCCTGGGGGGGGTCTCCTTTTCTTCTTATCATAGCAAGGGCTGCTTGGTGCATAGATAGTTCTGACCTACCAGGTGCAGTACAGAAGGGTGCTGATCTAAGGTGTTTTTGTACAGGACCCAAGAAGAAAAAAGAAGAGGTTAGCTTTCTTGAAAGGAATGAGCTAACACCATGTAAATCTTAATAAGCAAGTGACTTTACAGGACCTTTTCTTATCTTTACTAAGAGTAATCCTAGGCAAGCCACATCATGAAGTGAATACTAATACCAGGAAACGGTATTAGAGAAAAAACATTTATGGAAAAATCTTAACACAAATCAGGAAAAGGAGTGTGGAGTGCAAATACACTTGTTTCAAACCTATTTCTTTAGTGTGGTTAAATGCTTTACCTTTTAACCTGTCAAGGCTTATATGTTAAAGTATGTACCAGCAAGCTGCAATGTGTAACAGGGTCCAGCTATATAAGGCAATGTAAAGAAGCATGGAACAAGAATTTCACTTTTTTTTTTTTCTTTTTTAAATGCTACTCTAGGCATATTCAAAAGCTCTTGCTACATAGATGTGCGCTGGTTTCCATTTGATGTTCAGAAGTGCAATTTGAAGTTTGGATCATGGACCTATGGTGGTTGGTCTTTGGACTTACAGATGCAAGAAGCAGATATATCAGGCTATATTTCAAATGGAGAGTGGGATCTTGTAGGTAAGCTCCGTGGGCCTGATTGTCATTGACACGGTGTACTTTGGTAGCTTAATAGCCATTAAAGTGGAGGGAAATATTAGAGCAGTGTAGAATGATGTTAGTGCAAAGGATGAGCAGCCCCCCCCTTGCCTGTTTGTGGGTAATAAAAAAGTACATAGATCAATGTATTCACCTAACACATTTGGGTGGCATGCAAATAACAGTCTTTGTAGATGCCTCCCCTTCCATCTTCCTACCCCACAAAGCAGTGGATTACTGTACATGTTATACCTTTTAACTATGAAAGTCAAGTCAATACCATTTGAAACATTGAGAATGATAAAAGGTCAGAATCAACATATGAAGAAGGCAGAGGCACTGAGAAAACTATTGTTATATAAATTAAGTGAACACCATTCTGTCTTGCATTCTTTTTTATTACATGCTTTTTGTCATGTGATAGAAAGGAGAATTGGAATTAAAGATGAATGTCTTACCTAAAGTGAAATTTTGAAGGGGATTTTTGTAGGCTTTTAGCAAGATGTAACTTATACAAGAGCATAGTTTTTGTGCACATTGCTTTTCATTTTCCTCACTTTTTTTTTTTACTTACACAGGAGTCCCTGGGAAGAGGAGTGAGAGTTTTTATGAATGTTGTAAAGAACCATACCCAGATGTGACATTCACAGTGACTATGAGACGTAGGACTCTTTATTATGGACTCAATCTTCTCATTCCTTGTGTACTGATATCTGGACTTGCTCTTTTAGTTTTTCTACTTCCAGCAGACTCAGGAGAAAAGATCTCGCTAGGTAAATATCTTATAAGGGATTGTAAAATTTGGACTTAAAAAAAGGATTTTTTTCAGAACTGCCTTAGCATGTCAGGACGAAGTCCCCTCTAACCATCATACCACAGTGCAGTTGGTCCTTCTGAAACTGCATGGCAGTCCCTGACATTTAATAGTAATTGGATAACATTGATGAAGAGCAGTAGGGAAGTTTTCTGCCAAACTGGGAGCAGGGGCCTGGCTTAGAATCCAAAGCCAATCCAGTACTACAGTAACATCCATCCCCCTGAGCCACGCATTGTCTGCCATGTTTGTGGCTTCCTGGCTTCATACATTTCCCTTTTTTGGCTCACCAAAGATAAAGCAGAGGTAATAACTTCTCACGTGATAGAGCATTGGGCTAGGAAGTCAGAAAGATGCAGGTTCAACCCCTGCCCCCCGGTGATGGAAGCCTAGATCCCAGGCCTCCAGGTTCCTGGGCAGCCAACTACTCCACCACTGGTATAAAACATGGGAAGGCTCTCTCTGCATAGTAACAGCTACTAGCTATGAGTTCCTGGCCTGGCACATTTTTGTGACTTATGGTGGCATAAATCCAGAATGGTGTATCCTGCCGCATGTGCTTAGTGCACTTAGGCATGCACACTGTAGGGGACTTAGAAATGTTATCTGTGCCTGCGTTCCAGTAATGCCACTTGTACAGCTAGAAAATTGCAATTTAGATGCCCAGAGGCAAAAGGCATTCCATCCTGTGGAAATGTAAGATGAAGGCACCTTATAAAAGGAGACACGTTAGCAGTTTTTCAAAGAACTGAGCAGGGTGGAATAATTTGTACTTATTTATGAGTCTAAATGCTACTTAGACCACATACCTGGGCACTGAGTGCAAATGGTGGTATAACAGAGTTCACACTAGCTACTCTGTTCTTTAACATTGGTCTTGCCATTTTAGGCTGGACTGTCTGTCTTTTAGTCTCACTTCCTGCTGTAGCTGCTCCCTTTTGTTCAAGTCTAGTCCTGAGGTTTTGCTATGATAACAACTGAACCACATTCAGCAAAGAGAGCGGCTCACCGAGCAACAAAAACCAAACTCTAAAAATTAGCACCACAGCTGCTTGGAACCCAAGCAACAGAGGTCACTTACTGCTCCAGTAAAAGATACCACAAAGCATCTTTGCCTCAGAGATCAACAGCTAATTTCAGAGAGAACAGCTCAGTCTGTCTTCAAGGGCAGTGTCTGGTTGTAGGATTCCTAACTACTTCTAACTTCCAGACCTATTGATCATTGTCATGTACTATATCAAGTATTCATATGCTTAAAACAAGAATCTAGATCATGACATTTTCTAAAGGAGTGGTAGAGCAGAAAGCAAGAAGCAATTCGATTTATCACATTTTATTCACAGCCTTTGGAGAGTACTACAGACTGAATGGTGCTGTCCATTGGTATAACAAGGACAAAAAGAAATTATTATTTGTAGAAGTGCAGAAAATTTAAACCTATTCAAGAAATGTAAAGGTTTTTGTATTGGTAGTATCCATAGTTACAAAAGAGAAGATTGAGAAAAAAATAAACTAGTTTGGCAAGATTTCCACTCTCTACAGCTGGATTTTTGAGAAAAAAAAATTAGCTTGAAAAGAGAATTGAAGTGAGTAAAATTAGTAAATCAGTGCAAGGCAGTGATTGAGAGAATACATTTCATAGAGAGCATGTCTTCAGGTTTGCTTTTTGCTCCTTAGAGCAATTACCTGAGAAGCTGCTGGCCTAATTCCATATTACATGTTTATCTTTCAGGGATAACAGTTTTATTGTCTCTCACTGTCTTTATGTTACTTGTGGCAGAAATTATGCCAGCAACATCGGATTCTGTACCATTAATAGGTAAGGACAATTATTGTCATCTTTTATTTCATTTTTAAAAAGCCAAATGAATTGGAATGAACTCACATCAAGGCCAGCAATAAAGCAAATTAGAAAGCAAACAATCTGAGTGCTCATCTGTCACTGAACAAGAAAGAGATGCTTAGGTCTAATCCCTCAGAGATGAAGCAGCGACTTCAATAGGATGTGAGGATGCTCAATACCACTTTCCTGGCAAACATGGTAGTGCAAGGCAAAGAATAAAGACTGGGGATCATGCTGCAGAACAGAAGAGGATGAAGGGCACACATAATTTGGGCTACCCACATGCTTAGGGAAGAGAGACACTGAGCAGACATAATATTCATGAGAGCTGTGCGAAGCTTCGGGTGGTGATTCGATTCGGAGGAGATTCAGCCCAATTCGATGGCTGAATCTCCAAATCTGAATTGAATCAGGGCACCAATTTAAAGGTCCAAATCGATTCGAAGTTCTCTGAATCTTCGGAAAAGATTTGGAGAGCTTTGATGATTCGGGCAGTCTCCAATGGCTGCAGCAGGCAGCTACAGTCAACTCCGAGCTGGTAAGTACTAGGGGCAGTGGAGCGGGGGCTGGGGAGGGGGGAGGAAACCTCGGTGCTCACTGGGTGCTGCCGGTCAGGGGGGGCGATCCCTGCTGCCCCCCACTGCCCCATGCTGCATGGGGGGCTCTGCCACAAGCCCTTCCCTCCTCCCCCAGCCACCCCACGGGGGCCCCCCCCGGGCCAGCAGAAGCAGTGAGTCCTGGGGTTTTTTTCCATTTTTTTTCCTTAAAGGGCCTGAGCTGGCCCATGCGGGGCATCCGTGGGGGGCTGGGGGAGCGAGGGGGGAGTCAGGGGACTTGTGCAGAGTCCCCCATGCAGTGTGGGGCAAATGTCGGGAGCTGGGGCAGCCATTGCCGGTCATGGAGAGGGGTGGGGGATGGGCCTGACCTGGCTGATTTGGACTAATTGAATCGGGACAGTGATTCGAATCACTGAATTGAATCACTGCACCCCGAATTGGCCAAATCTGAATCCGAAGCAAATACTAGCCGCTTCGCACAAACCTAATATTCACGGGATAGTTTAAGCCTTCTTCTCACTCAAGCCAATTCTGTTGCTTCATTGACATGCAGTGAATTTTGCTGTTAACAGGATTCTTCTGTAAGCGTTGGCTGTTACTTCCTATGTAGACTTGGGTCTGCCAGTCTGGTAGAAAATCCAAGGCTAACTAATATAACTAAAACAGATTGCAAATCACACAGGGATAATTCAGAAGAGTTTCCCTAGATGCGGTTATAGTGTCTTGGAACATAGTGAGAGCAGACCCAATAAAATAGATAACAATATAATGAGCTCTTTTCTACTACTACAATCCTTAGGAGCAAACTGAAACTTCAAGGGGAAAACAAGCAAGTGGACTAAATAAAAAGTTACTCTATCCAGTATTAACAAATTGAAAATGTTTCCCTTCATATTTTTTAAGGCACTAAGAATAGGAAGGAAGCCAACTCCTCTGGAAAATCAATGACACTTGGGTACCTGATTGCTCTGTCTGCCTTTGAAAATTGCTTCCAAATGCTTTAAAAAGTGGCTGGTGTAAAATAAAGCTTATGTATGTAAATGTGCGCAAGCATAATAATAAAAGTGTAAAACAATATTGCTTAATGTTATTGATGTATATTACTATAATCTTGATTATACAATGTGATGATTTGTTTGCTTTTGCAGCTCAGTATTTTGCCAGCACTATGATTATTGTTGGTCTGTCGGTTGTTGTCACTGTTATTGTTCTACAATATCATCATCACGATCCAAATGGAGGGAAAATGCCCAAATGGGTAAGGTCTGATTCTGGTTCATCAATATTGATTCACTCACTCTATAAACTTTTAGATTAGAGATGTGCTATAGTGGTAGGATATTTATAATTAACTCCTGCTGCTTAAAAATATCCTTCTTTAAATTCTTTAAATTTAACTGGCAAGTGCAATGTGTGTTCATCTGTACTACAGCTAGAAAGCACTTTAGCCTCTTTTTAATAATGAAAATTAAAAAGCCGGGTTTATGTCAAACAAGCCATAATATCATTGGCAAGGGAGAAAAAGAGCGAGATGCTCATGACTGGCAAGTGTGAAGAATACAAAGTACTGTGTAAGAATACAAAGTACTGGCAAGTGTGAAGTATACAAAGCATTAGTAGCGGGAGACAGGGTGGATTTTTACCTTAAAATGTTAATTTTTTAGTTATATGTATTTAAGTGCAAATCCACCCTGCCTTCTGCCTGACTTCAGACTAATGTGGCTAATTACCTCTCTGCTTGCGAACAACATTACTGGGTACAATATTTAAATATTGTTCTTAGGAGAGAACATCCTCTATTACCATTTTTAGAGAGGAATGTTAATAGAAAGGGAGCTTGCTTGCTCTGAGAATTTCTGAGCTTTCCATATGTTACATTTGGTCACCATGTAGCCAAGCTCACACCCTGAGCTTTTTGGTCCAGACTTTCTTACCTTAGCAGTATCCACATAGGATGCTCCAGGTCTTTCCCTTGGGCTGCCACCCAGTACCAGGTAGATCAAGAACAGAGTGACATCCTGCTCTTCACTTCCTTTCAACAGCATGGCTGAGTCAGAGCAACTTCTCAGCTAGCATTCACAGCTGAGCCCTGCCTACTACTCAACAGCAACTAGGATTTTGGGTTTTTTTTAACCCTTTCTTTGTTAAAGGGGCTTCAGGTCACTGCCCCCTCCTCATTTTCTTTGGCAGCTGTGCTATGCAGTCCTGCCACATTTGAGCCTGGTGCTTGAGGAAGATTTTCCCCTGGTTTTCTTCTCTAGTTTTCTTTCCTTTTCTAAAATTTCGTTCCAGCTCTTTAGACTGCTTCTGTCTTGGCCTGTGATGGCTTCCCTTAAGTCAGAGAGTTTCTACCCCTGCGAGGTACTAATACCTACCTCTGCTTCCCTTGTGAAGGATTTTGTCTTACCTTGTGCATACACCCACAAAATGTGACATTTTGTCAGTTATTCAAACTGAGGACAAGGGAGAAATTTGAGATAAAACTATGCATACCCCTGCTAGGTTAATTCTTTGCCTCACCCCTAGACCCTGGCACCAATCCTCCTGGAGTTGCACCATCCTCCTCCTGCTGCAATAGTGGTTGTCACACCTTCACCACTTCACGTCATGGTCCAGGAGCCATTCCAGCAGTAGACCTGAAGGGAGCTCCTACCTGCCTTCCTCACACAAATTGCTCCCTCACCCACTAGGGTCAGCTGCACTGACTTGGGAAACATATGCTTTAGAATAGTTGAGGCACTGATTGAATAAGCTCCTAGTTGTGTAAGGTTGCAGGAGAAGCTTGTGGAGCCTGAGAAGGTCCATATTGAGATCAACATGAGACACTCAGGGCATTTTTACATGTGAAAGTGCCGCAGTGTCAGGTGCTTTGAAAAGTGCCAGGCACTGTGATGCTTGCAGAAAATGGCAGTGGTGCACTTTTGAACTAAAACACCTTGGAGGTGCTTTAGTTCAAAAGTGCACCACTGCCATTTTCTCTGTGCTGACATGCATTTCACCACTTCTACAACTGCATGCGGTACAGCGTGGTGCGTGTCAGCTCCTGTGCAGACAGACTCAATTAATCGAGTCTGCTGTGAAGTGGTGGATCTCTGGCGCATCCAAGAACTGAAAGATGCATGTAAAAATGCTATCATAGTACAGACCATGTGAGACCTCTGGATCCATTACCACCCACTGATGTTTTTGGCACTGACTGACACTGCAGTATCAAACCTGGTAGCTAGTGGGAATTTACGTCTGCACCCTGCAGTGCTCAGCACTATCTCCAAGCACAGACTCTGCCTTTTCTACCATTGTTGGCATCTTACCCCAAGTCTGTTAAGCACCTTCCTTTGACATGCATCCTCTGCATCTTCTTCTGCCACTGATGCACCACCCACTTCACAGTTCATGAGATACCCTGTTACTCCACAAGAGGTGAGAGAGTTATCTAATATCTGCCTCTTTTAATATGCCTCTGCCTGACCTATTGGTGGAGCCCAGAAGTCTCCTGGAATTTCTGAGGCACAGGGCAGAATTTCAGCCCTTCTCATGCTGAGCAAATCTTAATGAGATTACACTGAACCTTGTCAGCCTGATTTTGTACAATGCTACTAGACCTCATTCTCCATCCTTCAGTGTCAAACTATTAGTAAAATGTAGTATTTTGATGGGAATTGGTTATCATTATTGTCTTTGCTCCTGGGAACTTTTATGCACAGTGGTCCCACAGCTGTAGTACTTTACAGACATTAGACAGACGCATTCCTTTCCTCAGCTTAGGTTTTGAGATTCAAAAAAAAAGAAAGTGATTGAGTTTTGTATATAGCACTGAAGTGTGACCCAAAGTTCAAGTGTCAAGAAGTGTTATGACGTGTATTCCCCATGAATCATTTGAAATAATCCTATAACAGTAACGAAACTTGGTATTAAAGAGCCATTGAAAGTTAATAGTGGTTTTACCCCAATGTCACTGGGCTTTGGATCAGACTCTGAGTTAATAAAGCCAGTGGTTTTTCAGGTGAATCATGCTAATAGAAAAATAAAACTAATACAAGGTATCTCAGTTTTGATAAGCTCTCAAAATAATGCCAGAACTATATCTCCTTTAAGTGGCATTTTAAGATTGTAACAAATGAACTAAGTACAGCATAAGTTACATTGCAAGACTTGGATATGATTTGAAATAATAAATGACAGAACTCTGAAGGAGAAACACTTGAGACATTATTTGAAATCTGAGTGAACTGAATCTGGAAGCACTTTCTGACTTGCTTGCCCTTTCTGTAAGGCTGCAGAAAACTAATAAAAATGTAACCCACTGATTTTATTTGTAATCACTGAAATGAAAGCAATCTCGTACCAAGGCCATTTGTCCCATCTTTGCTTTGAGTTGTATCCAGATCTGTTTTCCACAATCCTCAATCAGGTGTCATAAAATGTGTTGGAGTGAGAGCATTGCAAAACCACAGTAAAATTCAGTGATACAATACAATCAGTGTAGCATCTGTTTAAGCAACAGCTTCTACAAACCAGTGCAATGCTTAACAGAAACAAGGGTGAAAGAAATGCAGTCTGTTGCCTGTAGTGTAAAGCAAAACTACTTAGGGGCCTGTTGAAAATAACTGATTTCTAGTAAAGAAATAAGTAATCACTAATAGTTTCCACTAAAGTTAAAAAGCATTGTGTTACTATTCTGACATGAATATAATGAAAGTTCAACATTACTGAGACTCCTGGTAGTAATAGTTTAATAGCAACTGTTAACAGCATTGCTGGGAGTGAAACAATGGACTTAATGGCTGGTGAGTGATTCTGCTGGGTGGTTAGGTACAGTATAACTAGACTGATATGTAACATAAGTAAGTAGAGACCCAGGCCTGCATGGCCACCTGGCCTCCAGTATATAAATAATTACTGATGACTGTTTTTGTGCACAGAGATGTTGACTTAGCTTAACCTTGTTTCAGACCAGAATCATACTTCTGAACTGGTGTGCCTGGTTCCTGAGGATGAAGAGACCAGGGGAGGATAAAGTGCGCCCTGCCTGTCAGCATAAGCAACGTAGGTGTAGCTTGTCCAGTGTGGAGATGAATACTATGAGTGGACAGCAGTCCAGTAATGGAAACATGCTCTATATTGGGTTCAGGGGGCTAGAAGGGGTCCATTGTACTCCCACCACTGATTCTGGGGTAATCTGTGGGAGGATGACTTGTTCACCAACCGAGGAAGAAAATCTCCTGCACAGTGGGCATCCCTCTGAAGGTGACCCAGATTTAGCTAAGATCTTGGAAGAGGTCCGCTACATTGCAAACCGGTTCAGAGACCAGGATGAGGAGGAAGCTATTTGCAATGAATGGAAGTTTGCTGCCTCCGTGGTAGATCGTCTCTGCTTGATGGCCTTTTCTGTCTTCACCATCATTTGTACGATTGGTATTTTAATGTCAGCACCGAACTTTGTGGAGGCTGTGTCTAAAGATTTTGCTTAATTACCTAGCTGTAAATCTGCAAAATGTCAGTAGTCCTCTGAGGTTTGTCATGTAGCAAATATATGGAGTACATGATCTTTATTTTCCACCCTTATAGTTCAGCACTACTGAAAATCAGGCCTATTTTACCCCAGTCAAGTTGGGCATATAAAAACAGAGGCAGCCCAAGTCATTGATTACTTCTGAAAATTGAAGCTACCAACTTCAGTGGGAGCCAGCTGTGAGATCACAGAACCTTATGTTCATTTATGTAATTCTTTCATTCAGGGGTAAATTATTGCAGGTTAGCTTCTACTTAGCACAGGATAGAGTAGAAAGATGAAACAGATTGGCTTAATCCGTGGTAAATTCTTCTCCTCTCACCTGTTTTGAATCTGTATACTTATGTTGTCTGTCCATACCCTGAGACTTGTTTCTTGAATGTCAGGCTCCTAGAGAGAAAATCATGTTGGTTATTTACTGGCATTACCTGGATTTGAACTGCAGAATCAGAAGGAAAGGCCTTTAGTGAGTTCCTCAGCCCTGTTCAGGGCCCTTCATGTCAGCAAAAAAGGACCAGACACATGAAAAGGTGAAGTGAAAGTCCTGTGTTTGACCAGGGAACAGTTCTTCTGGCAGAGTCCCAGCAGAAAAGGGCTAGAAGGCTGCCTCCCATCAGTCTCTTTGAGAGCAGTGAAATGGGGGCCTGTTGGTAGTGGGAAGAGGATAGGGATTACAAGGACTCTTCATGCATCTGTTATGCAAGGTGTTTCTCTAGTGTTTGGTGGGGCAGACCAGAATCATATAGGTGCAAGGAGCCCTTAATCCATTTAGCTCCTGGCCCCCAAATGCTGTGAAGTCTGTTCAGTGCAAAATCTTAACTGTGATATCAACAGTTGAGCAAATAATTTGTATTTATTAATGTATTCACTGATATATTTGTTAGGTGTCCTTGTGGGAATAAATAAGCTATTTTTCATATGTATTTGTGCAGAAATATTTACCAAATAATTCCTGAAAATAATCTTTGTGGATTGCTCATAAGCAATTCACTGCGAAGAGTCGGTATTTGAAATCTGAGCTGTTTGTTCATTTGAGTAGAATATGCGTGTCCACCCCAACTGGATGAGCTTAGAACTGGCTTTCTGGTGTGAAAAAGTAGGTTTGCGTTGGCACATTTTCGTCTGCAAACGTTGTTTAAAATCTCATATACAAATGTGCTGGTTCAGCAAACATTCCTGTTCAGAATATTCACCAAATGCGAGTGCAAAAGGGGGCACCCACTGAACCAGAACAAACTGTTGATTAGACCGATTAACCCTGGAGTGTGTTGCCAGCTGCCTCAAGTTTTTACTAGCTGAGAGCAATTCCCTGCCTCCAAATGGGGATTTTTAAGACAGCCATTTAATCAGAAGAACTGACATACTTGGTCAAACAACAGGCCCATCTACCTAGTGTGATATCTCATCTCTCATAGTGGCCAAGAGTGGATGCTGCGGGGAGAGAGTATTAATGCCAAGCGTACCCAGACTGACCTGTCTGCTGACCCTCTCTCCCTACAGCTTCCAGCTTTCTAAAATTCCTTTTAGAAGGGAATTTTAAGGTGATTTTGCTGAATGGGGACATGATTTTGGCACCATGTACTGGGCTGGCAGAATGTTTTTGTCAGACTTGTATTTATATTCTAAATTCCTTCTGATGGGAAGCAGTATAAACATTTTATTTAACACAGATGGGTTTTTCTTGCTGTTGAAGGACCTTTGTAGCAGGATGGAGATAATGGTTCATGATTTATGATATTGAGGTCCTACGTGAATAGACTACATGAGGAAAATTGGGACCAACTATCCCGCCCTGAAGCAGCTCGACCAGTGGTAGCTATGTTGAATGCCACACTAAAGAAATCATGCATGTTAGGCAACATGGTGGTCAGCAGTCACTCTGCTACAGGCATCTTGGAAATGCACCATGGAAATGTACTGATGAGCTGAGTCCCAATTTTCCTGGTGCTGACAGAGCATGCCAAACAGGTTGTCACTTTATAGCCATTGGCAGCAAGTACAACACAGTTTTTTTTTATTATTATTTTTTAAGGTACGTTATCATGCTGCTTAAGTTGTACATTTTCAGATTAATGAGCTGAGCAAAACTGGTAGTTTTCTTACCAAATCTGTGTGTGTTCTATGTATATGTGTACGTGCTAAGAAACATTCTGGTCTAAATGCTGGGAAAATGCTCATTTAGACCCCTGTACATCAAGATGGGATTTAACTACTATATAGTACATGTCTATAACATATGGAACATATTTCATGGTAATGATCTGTTATGATCTTAAAATGCAGAGCTATGGCATTTTTGATAGTAGAGCCATGATTGAGTTCTGAAACATCCGAGTGACAGATAAAAAGCTCACTCGAAGCTCAGCTACCATGTACAGTATTGTGTGTGAAATGTATATTACTTTCTCTGGTTTTATATAGAATTGTATTGAATATGAAGAAGCTTTTTAATATTTAAAATTTAAAATTTATTTAAATGTCATGCCAAATATCAATTCCGCTGATAAAATTTTAAAAGTTAGTTTTAAATAAATATAAATGAAATATTTAAACTATTTAAAATAATGAATTATTTTATATAGGATATAAAAAATATTGTTTAAGAGGGTTTTTTTTAAAGGTTTCTTGAATTTCCCTTTGTGTTGACAGCTGTGGGGTTTAATCTTAGTTCAGCTCTTGATTGCTCCACTTTTTACTTTGTATTGGGAAGGAAGAGGAAAAGCCAAAGCCCTTGTTTAATTTATTTTTGTTGCATTGTTTTTAAAAAAAGAAACAGTGTATAGCAAGCATTAAAAAAGATGAGTCCCTTAAATATTGTTTTATTATATAAGTAGTACTACACCTTTTGGGTCCAGTACAAATAAATATTTTAGATCAAAAAGCCTTTGATCTGTTTCTTTGATTTCTTATTTTGCTGATGTTTGAAACCATTATAAAGTCAAATGGACAAAACTTCAACAGCAAAAGAAATGGCACTTTCTCAAGAAAAAAAGTGTTTTAGAGATGAATACAGAAGGTCAGTGGCAATTTCCATATCGCACTATGTATAATCATATGCTACTTACCAGATCATTCCCACATGGAAAGAGAGCACAAAGTTAGCACAGAAGCTCTCAAAATGTAACTTAAGTGGGGCGTAAATGATACTACGCTTCATGCTGACCCTCTGCACTAGAGGGTATTTAACCCTTGAAGTGTATCATGCAAAAGGTTGACAGACAAAGTGAATCTACAGCAGTTATACAAACAGCTGTGTTTGGGCCAAGGTAAGGTTTGTGCCCGGGCTGTACAGGAAGATGTTTTACTGAGCAGATCAAAATCATGTAATTTATTTAGGAAATTAAATCAGTGGCAGGTCTCTGGGGAAAATGCTTCTGGGAACTGCAGCTGTGCTAATAGAGCCTGTTTACATCCTCTCTCTCCTCCCCACATTTTACTAGCAAGCACTAAACTTAGGCTCTCAATATCATCACAGTCATGAATAGACTCATTTTATCTTCTCTTTATGTGGCAAGGAATAGCAAGTTATGAAAAATTGATGCTAGCATAGTAGGATTAAGGCATACAGCTTGTGTAGGCTGCAAGCACCAGAAGGTGACATAGTTGCCTGTGTTTTAATTTTGGAACCTGGGTAACAAGCAAGTATTCAGGTATTTGCACAGACATGGCATTCTGCCCTGTGACAAATCCTAGCATACCACCGTTTCCAGGGCGCAAAATGCTTTCCCCCCCTTGAAGGAAGCCTAAAACAAAGGTGTTTTGATGTATTTTAGATTTGTAATGAAAGTTAACCAAAATTAAAACATTTCAGTTAAAAACCTTTATTCTATCCTTCTTGGAGACAATGCCTCAAACATTGGAAAATGTAGTATTAAAATAATGGATAGTGGAGATTTAAGGGTAAAGAAAGTACCAGGCTTTCTAGGCATACTGATTTTTATAAAGTCGAAAGTATAGGGGAGGCACAAAAGCCTTGTAGCCCATATTGATTTTGTGAACTAATCTTAGAATATAAATATATTGATTTATTGTAATAAGTCATCACCTGATACTACAGAAAATCTAATAGGGTAATCTTATGGGCTGCATTCACAAGAGAATACTTTCTATTGTCATTTCAGCTTATTTTTACAAGGCTATGAATGTCTAAAACTTCCCTATAGAACTAAATTGGTTTATTAAAATACACATTGAAAGCATCCCTCATTTGCATAACATGCAATGTATTGTATCTTACGTGAGCTGATGCTGTCTCTTTTCTGACCTAGAAAAGTATGTTTCCTTTTTTCTGCCCTTTTAATGACAACCATTTTGTAGCGCTGATGAGTATATATTAATGCCATAAATGCAATTAAATTGAATTCTGTGACCACTTTAGTTTAGACAATGCTAGGATACAAACACAAGTATTTTCAGTCAATTTCTAGTCATGTTTCTCAGTTCTTTTTTTGTCCCTTACAAATTATTGCATTGATTCACATCAGTAATACGCTCAAGCAGGGATGTGTACAATTCTTTTACAAAGCAAGCTGAATTAGGCATACTCACTAATCTTTTAAAAAACTACATATTAGCACAACACCATGTCACTTTCAGGCCATGTCTGTGTTAGTAAGAAAGTAGCTAGAGGTTTTCATTTAGCTGAGACAAAAAAAAGTAGCAATGAAAGCCACCTGCTTGCAACCCCTTATGCTCATTCCCTAACCCATACTAGTTGCAGTAGTCCAGTGCCTATTAAAATCAGTGAACTTTTTGATGTCAGTGGCCCTTGAGTCAGGACCACAGTTAGTACAACAGTTCGACATACCTATGATTCTGGCCCCTGATAAGCAAGCGAAACATTGGAGAAAATGCAGAGCACTGAAATGTACTAGTTTGCATGCTTTTAGGTAAAGCAGTGAGAAATCTGGGACCCGAGTCCAAAGCAGGGTACAGAAGTGACAACAGTGGAACAGTGTTAAGTTATTTGGGTTGTGCTGACAATTATATACAGTTATTACTCAGTGATGACATTACCACTATATATGAGATGCTGTGTTGTTTGACCAAGTGTTGGGGTAGTTTGTGTTTTTGTTTTTGTTTTTGTTTTTTGGGGGGGTGGGGTGGGGAGGAATGGATAAGAAAAAAACTGATCCCACTGCAGGCATAACTACCAGGCAAAATACTGCAGAACTTGTCCTACTTTCCTAACCCCTTAAATCAGGAAAGACAGCAGTCGGGAACAGGAGCATCGAATTGCAACTATAGAGCAGTTCTCTCAGCTTCCTGACAGAATGCAGTTCTATCGTCTCCAGCTAAATGGAGGTGTCTCAGTGGTATGTGATTACTGACACTTGTAGGTAGAGCAGATAAGGTGCTGATTTCACTGTGTAGTTGAGAGGCAAGTGTTGCTCTTGACTTTTTTGACCAAATTAAAATATAATGTATCAACTGCACCAAAAATTCACTGACTTCAGTGGGAGCAGAGCCAGACTTTAGGGCTAAGTGGCTTTTAGTTTTGCTTTGTAGCAGTTCAGTCATCTAAACTACGGGGGATATGAAGACTATGTCTGAGGGGTCTGTAAAAGATGACTATGATCAATCAAAACCCACACTTACTGTTCAAAGGGGTCTGCATTGCCATTCGAAATTTTTTAGGGGTCCACAAATAAAAAAAAAAGGTTGAAAACTACTGATCTAAATGCAAAAGCTTGTGTTACATGCACTCTGGGCGCGTCCATATGAGACACTACGGTGTAGTGGTTACTGCGCATTTATTTACTACTTGTATAATCAAGTAGTAAATAAATGCACAATAACCCTGGCAAACGCCTTTTTAGTGATGCTGCTGTCCAGTAGCCTAATAATGCTGCGCAGTAGTGGATTAACACTGTTGGTGCTGTGAGGCATTACTGCACAGTATTATTCAGCTATGCAGTTAGCATCTCATGTAGATGCACCCTCTGAAAACCAAAATGGAGGAGGTAAGGACTGCCTTATGCTCCTGCCTCCCATCTTTTTTTCTCCTGACACTTCTACTGGGTGGATTAATATCAAGCAGGTCTTTAGAGCTGGGTGAGATGAGGGACAACTGGTTCCTCCCACTCCTTTTCTGGGGAAAGATTTAATATAGATTATACCATTAGTCCCAAAGCAGTGCCAGCCACTGGGTATAACCTCCACATAATGTGTTTGCGAGACACATTAGGAGTGTTGGATCGCTGGCATGCCTACCACGGCTGATAGAAAAGCATTGGTTTCATATTTTAGAATTGAAATACACATGGTGGGGAGGGGGCCCAGCTCACTGGAAGCAGAAAGTTTTCCTGAAGGGGGAATGGGGGGTGCACATGCACATGCATACACATCTCTTCTGCATGCAGCCTGTCCCCACAACATCCAAGGAAACTGCTGGAGAATGCACTGGATCAGCACATACTCCCTCCTCCACTCCCTGCCCCAACTCCTCTCCCTCCTCTCCCCTCTGTCAGCAAAGCCCTGCAGAAGACCCCAGACTGTGGGTGGTCCAGCCACAGGGATCATTGCTCCATTCCTGGGCCTGGCACCAACCTCCTGTGTAACGTTGCAAATGTGCACTTCACTGCTCTGTGCCCAGCCTGGCCCACCTCCGCTGTTGTCTGCCTTGCTGATTTAGAGTGTTTGCAGGGTCTCCTGCTCTCTCCAGTGCTGGTACAGCACCCAGGGCAGCAGGGCCTTGCACTCGGTCGAGACCTTCAGGTAAAACTGCAATTACCAATAATGATGGTTCTCCAATGGAGGACTGAGGTACAAACCATGCATGTCCTTGCCTCTGCTCTCAGCCTCAAGGAGGGGTGTGAAGATGGAAGAGGGCCAGGCCTGCAGGTGCTCTCAGGCCTCACCCTGTGGCTCCCCATCAAGCTAAAGTTCCTCTACAGGACTTGCTTATTTACCACACCATCGCTGTACGGAAAGATGGTTGTTAGTGTTTTCACCCATGGACACTGGGTCTCCTCTCAAGCACCTCCTTCCACACCAGAGATACTATCGCACCTGCAGAGCCCAGAAGTTTGCTTCTTGTGTATTAACTGCTTCCACAGAGCTTTCTCCTGGGTTTGTCCCAGATAGTGCTGCTCAGCCCAGAATGCTTCACTATAATGCAGTGGTGCCCAACTGTTGGTGGGCCTGATCTAGCAAATTAACACTGCTGCTGCTTCCCCACTGCCGAATTTCTGGATCTGTGGGGCTCCCCATGAGCTGGATGACATGGCTCCATGGGCTGACTAAGGGGCTGAGGTTGAGTGCCACTGCTCTAATGTATCAGCTGGCCCCGTACGCATTGCTGGGTAAGCCTCATGCTCCTGAATATTTCAAACTGCACTTACAAATAGAAAAGAAAACCCTCATGTAAATCTTCCTTTCAATTACATTTTTTCTTGTAGCAATAAATTGTTTTTATCCTGTGATGGTATGAATTCCTGCTGAACCTCCCTTTCCAATTGCTTTGTTAATCCCACGTCT